TATTGTAAGTATTAAATGGTTTAATACTTACAATAAGTGTAACTTTCTGGTATATAAATATAAATTACATTATCTGGTTTAATACTTACAATAGGTGTAACTTTCTGGTATATACATATAGATATAAATTACATTATCGGTGTAACTTTCTGGTATATACACCAGCTTCCCTAGTGGTAACATACAGATACTATTAATGTTGCAGAAGAGGACGTAAGTTTCCGATCACATGAGGTTCTACTCTCTTGACCTACTCTATAAATAAATACCCTACCAGAAGCTTCACTAACAGAGAGATAGAGTCATTAGATAGGTATTGAAGGATGTAGTTATTGCTTTTTGTTATTCAATATTATTATTGATATTGAAAGGTATTTTTGGAATACTGTATTTTTTCAGGTTCTTTTTCCTGAATCCATTATTTGAAATATTAATATTTATGATATATTGTTTATTAATATTGGTATCAAGTTCTGGCCAGGCACTTCTTTATTAACTGTGTTTTAGTAAGTGTTACTGTTGAATAAAATATTTTTTGTTGTTGAACCATGACTGTAGCAGCTTGTTCATTTTAGACTGAAATATTCAAAGTGTTTTTTATTTTAAAGTTAGTACACAAATTGTAACAAAGAATAGTTCAATACCTGTGTACTAACTTTAAAATAAAAAACACATTGAAAATTTCAAAGAATAGTTCAATACCTGTGTACTAACTTTACAATAAAAGGTAGCAGACATATTGGAAACAATAGTTCATTATTTGTATAGTCACTTAAAACAAATTGCACTAGGCATACTTCAAACAACATTTAATTATTTATGTTCTCATTCTGACAACTAAAAAAGCACCAACCATGTTACTAACTAAAGTGAACGATGTTTCATCCCTAGATCTATCAAAGAACCATCTTCCAAACACTTTGTTCTAGGTCTAACCTAACTATTAGTTTCAACCTGGTTTAATACTTACAATAAGTGTAACTTTCTGGTATATACATATAAATTACATTATCTGGTTTAATACTTACAATAGATGTAACTTTCTGGTATATACATATAAATTACATTATCTGGTTTAATACTTACAATAGTCTGTTTCATCA